ATTTTTTGTTATGCTGGTTGAAAGTCTCTTCACATCCCAATAGCAATCACTAAGTTAAATGGTCTAAATTTTATTTATATGTACTCATATCGTCTGTGGAAGGCATAGGGTAGGACCATATAATGTTCGTCCAATCGAAATGTTCGGTCCGAACATTACAATAGGCTGTCATGCCTGCGTACCAAATATGTAGTTGTATACCTCTGCACACCCTGTTTGCGCAGACATGATACATCATCAGCACATTCCAGCGAGAATGAAAGGTGCTATTATTGTAATATTATGCGCTTTGTACTGTAGTGTTTTCTCACCGGTGAATGAGACATGAGGTAATCTGACATCGTTGCATTCAACCCTCCACTAACTTCATCTCTCATCATGTCGCTGGTTAGCATCTGTGGACTAATGACTGCTGAAAATTCAGCTTTGCCATCACAGGAATAAATTACATTTTTAAATAAAATAGAAAACAGTTATTTTATATTGTAATATTTCACAACATTTTCACTGTATTTTCGATCAGAAAATGATCCAAGCCTTGGTGAGCATAAGAGGCTTTAAAACATCCTACCGACCCCAAACTTTTGAACTGTGGTGTGTGTTTTTTTGTAACTGCTTGAAAGCTCACATGCTGTGCTCTTGGCTGTTTTTCCATAATTCCACATGTATTTTTTTCTTGCAGTGTTGGAGATGTACAGCAAACTGCAGGAGCAGATGAGAGCCAAACGGTATGACATCTGTGCACATGCCTTTTTTTGTGTATGCTACAGATGAGCACTAGGTGGCACTAGAGAAAAACTTATCAAGGTTGAACTTAAACAAATTATATTGCGATACATATTGATATTGAATTATTGTCCAGCCCTATTTGTGGGTCAAAATTGTAAAAACCTCCGAAAAAGCTACTCTACCAAAGTTGTGTTTGAAAGTGCCACTCTAAACATTTTTGAAGCATTGATTTTGCTGTCTTGTCGTGTCCTCCGTGTGACCTGAGCATCAGCATTGGCCTGCAACTTTTCCATCCTTTTTGGTTTTTATTTATCTCTGCTCTCCGTGTTTCTCTGTCTCTCTCGTGTGCTTGGTTTTGCCATTAGCCTGGAGGTAGCGGCAGGGTCGGCCAAGAGAGACTCTCTCCCCGGCGTCGGGTCTGCTGTGTAATGTAAAACACACAAGTGCAGTTCAGGGCCCAAAATATTTTAATACCTTTACTTAAAGTATATTTGAGAGAAGGACATTCCCAGCTGGGAAAAAGAGAGCGAGGTGTTGATGATTTAAACAGACCACTGGAGTATCTCATCCAGTCTGATGTGACTGAAGCAGTGAAAAGACGGACAGAGAGAGAGTTTTTCAGATGTCTGAGATGTCCAAAGCAGCATTGGGCAGCTGTCAGGAGTCAGAGACACAGAGGACACATTTGGATTGGATTTTCTTAGCTGTAGCAGCTGCAAACATCGACCAGCATAGCTCATCTCTGAGATCATCTTGATTAGGTTAAATTGTTATCATGCTGAGATCAAAGTCTTTAACCAAAGGTTAAAAACATGTACTGCATGTGCAAGGCTCAACAAAAAGGATGGCCTGGAGAGAGTTTTGGGTCGGTTTACGTGACTGTCATTTGCCCTCCAGTGCAGTCTTATATTTGTTGGTCATGTACAGTATGTGTATTGGATTGTTGTTAAGTATTTAACTTTGTTTCTTGCAGACTTTGCTGATTTAAGTGTCACAAAGTTAAAATGATCTATAAATGGCTGAAAAAGTAATTGTAGAAATTGCAAGAGTAAATTGTAATAATCTTGGAAACCTCAGTTAGCATTAATAAAATTGTAGAAGAAATAAAATATTTAAATATTTAAAAATAAAAAGTTTTAATATTAAAATATTTAATTAAAATAATAATATAAAAAATCTAAATATATGTATATTATGTTAAGTATTTAACTTAGTTTCTTGCAGACTTTGCTGATTTAAGTGTCACAAAGTTAAAATGATCTATAAATGGCTGAAAAAGTAATTGTAGAAATTGCAAGAGTAAATTGTAATAATCTTGGAAACCTCAGTTAGCATTAATAAAATTGTAGAAGAAATAAAATATTTAAATATTTAAAAATAAAAAGTTTTAATTAAAATATTTAATTAAAATAATAATATAAAAAAATCTAAATATATGTATATTATAAATATATTTCTAAAATATAAACTATATGAAAAACAATAAAAATAAAGTATACAAAATTTAAATAACATTTAAAAAGTATTACAAAATATTTAATGCATGTATATGAAAATGCCGCAATAAATATTATTATTTATGTACTAATTAAGATTTTCTTCATATAAAATATTTTTGTCACATAAAAAAGTTGTTGCTTTTTGGCCATTGAAAATCCCTATTGTCGAGCCCTGCATGTGAGCTCATTAATAGTGGGAAGGTTTTTGAAGTAGCAGATATATGCAATCTTTTCTGAGCCTGCCGTGTTCTACCCCAGATACTACCCAGCACTACGAACCCTGGAACAGTTGGAGGGGAGCTGTTTGCCTCAAGCGGGATCATATCGTTTCTGCGCCATCATGGCAGAGAATATCCCACGTCTGCGCACACACATCAGAGACGTCTCCATGTCTGACCTCAAAGACTTCCTGGAGAGCATCCGCAAGCATTCGGATAAGATCGGAGAGACTGCCATGAAACAGGTGTGTGTGCTTGTGTGTTAGAGAGAGTGAGTGCTCATGTCGGAGTAATGCCTCGAAGTGTATCAGAACTATTTGACAGCTGCCTCATATGCTCACATCTAACCTGACAGTCACAGCTGGGTTTCAACGTGAGGACTCTGTCCTTGTTCTTCAGTAGTTCAATGCTTTTTCCCCATTTTTCCTCTCATCTTATCTCTGACCATCTAGTCATCTAGTCTGGAGGAAAAAGAGCTACCAATCTGTTCTGAATCAAAGATCGTTTCAGGTCGATTTTGTTTATGCCAGAGGAATCGTGGAACACTGTGTATGGACACAACTTCAAGGACAGTGCACAGAGACACGGAGAAGACCCAGGGAGCGCATATGAGAGAAATTGAGTGGATTTTTCATTGGAATGCAGAAAAATTCTCTGCTTTCTTTTACCGTTATTAGACCAAGATGGGGTGAGGAGTGCATTAGAATATGAAACGCCAAATAGACATTAAGATCTCCCAAGCACCATAAAAAGTCTGGCCTTGCTTTTTCCACTCTCTTTAACAAATCTTTCTTTACTTTCTTCCTTGTCCTTCTTCATTGAGGAATAAAACTAATCATGATAGATGTTATTGTGTGAAAGCTCCATTTGTGGTGGTTTCCAAGGCAGGTAACACTATTGCACAAGTTAGGGGCATTTCTGTATCTATAAGTATTTCAATTTGCCACGTAACTCGTCCTGTGCTGTTTGTCCTACAGACATGAATGATACTTGAAATCTTGTGGCTTACTGAGAGGAGGTGAACTAATAATTTTCTAAGCTATCAATTTATATTTTTGTTTTGCAGGTGGTTAAAATGGGCAAAAACTCATAAAGTTACACTGGAGAAGAGTGGGCCTCAGCACACTTCCAACAGGGTCCTTGAAATAACTTAAAATAATTTAAAATAAGACAAAACAAGCAATAAAATAAGCTAAATCACCTAAAAATCAAGATATTTCTTATTTTAATTAACTTATTGATTTTTTTTCTTTTTTGAAGATCCAGGATTCTAACTGTCTAGAAAAACCTAGAAAACAATGTTGATTTCTAGACCTAGAAAAGTGATATCCATTAATAAAATGTTTTTATTCCATGGGCATTTTTATACATTTTATGAATATAAATTTTTCTAGTTATGCTCATTTCTATTTTGTCAGGTAGAAATTGTAAGTAAAAATAGAAACCTTGGAGTCAAAGAGACTGAGAACCACTGCTATAGGCACTTGGTTAAAACCACTCAGAAACACCTTAGCAACACTTTAGCATTATCAATGTTAATTTTGCACAGACAGTCGCCACCATCACATTTTCTTCAGCAAGTTCTCTGCTCTTCTAATCACTACCAGTTCCTCTCAGTATGGATCAGTTGCTGATTCTAATTATGAAACAGTGGGGAGTAAAAGTAGCCAAAAATATGTCACAGAAGAGTTCAAATATTCCTCCCCGAGAAAGACCAAAGCCAGGAATGTGTGTGTGCGTATGATGCTGTACTATAACATGTTCTCTTTTTACTGTGTGAACCTTTTGTTAGTTACACCCCAATATTTTCAAGAACACAAAAGTAGTGATACTTCTAACTGACATTTTTCAGTAGTTGAAGTTGGTTCAGCTTTTTCCCCCTGAATAACGCAGCTTTTCCAGGTGTAACGCAATGAAACACTACATGGCTGGTTTTTATTTCACGTTTTATTGTGCATGCAGCTTTACAGCCAAGCAAGCTGAGGAGCTCTCCTAAACGGTCTTCTGTCTTATATGAAGCGTTGGAAATTCAACCCATTCTCCTGTTTTTTTCAGACCGTTTGTGTAAATGAAACGATTCAAGAAATGATTCACCCATATGAGGCCCTGTGCAGAATAGTGACATAAAAAATATTTAGTTGAAATCTGCCTACGTTTCCAGCTAAATTCTATAAGTTAAAGGGATAGTTCACCCAAAAATGAAAATTTGATGTTTGTCTGCTTACCCCCAGGGCATCCAAGATGTAGGTGACTTTGTTTCTTCAGTAGAACACAAACGAAGATTTTTATCTCAAACCGTTGCAGTCTGTCAGTCATATAATGGAAGTGAATGGGAATCACGGCTTTGAGAGTCAAAAAAACATACACAAACAAAACCAAATTAAACCCTGCGGCTCGTGACGATACATTGATGTGTAAAGACACGAAACGATCAGTCTGTGCAAGAAACTGAACAGTATTTATATCGTTTTTTACCTCTGATTCACCATAATGTCCGAACTGTCCTGAGTGCGTTCTCAACAGCCGGCACGTGACGTGTCTTCTTCTTCTTGCTTTATGGCAGATCGCAGACTTATAAGTGCATTACCACCACCTATCTCTCAAATGGACCATTGACACTCCTAATTGAGATTGTAGATAGAGCGTCAATTCCATTGACAATTCCACTATATGACTGACAGACTGCAACGGTTTGAGTTAAAAATCTTCGTTTGTGTTTTACTGAAGAAACAGTCACCTACATCTCGGATGCCCTGGGGGTAAGCAGATAAACATCAAATTTTCTTTTTTGGGTGAACTATCCCTTTAAGATGCACTCTATTTTGTTCTGTTGTATTTAGTCTCCTGTTCAAGTTTGAATCCTCATTATTGTTGTGACAAATATATACTGCTTCTGTGTGAAAAGTAATTATATAATCATGTAGTTTTATATTTAAAGACAGATGTTATCCCCCCAGCTTTAATGCAGGAATGTAGTTTGTTGCTTTCTGAGACTAGTTTTGTAACTTACTTTTTTTCCTCAATAGAAGCTTCACTGTACTTTAATCACTTTAAATTATGAGTGGTGTGTAGCTTGAAAAGCTAGAGTTTCAAAGTAGCTTCCTCAACGCTGGTTTCTAGAAAGTTAATTTTGTCTCTGATGATGCTTGAAAGAAGAGGGCAAGTTGGAGAATAAAACAATACGTGTATTCATCCAGGTAGGCAGGACTGAGGTAGATGCGTATTCTACCAGCAGGTTTTAATGCATTCGCGTTCTGACATGACCAAATGCATGTGGACACCATGAGTTGTAATCAGAGATTTGTTTGAACCCGTTTGTTCTGTTGCTGGTCTGCTTCCAGTCGCCCCAGCCCACCCTTTCTTTCCACTTTGTCCCTTTTTCCTCTCTCCTCATCAGCCTGCGCCCTGGTCCATAGTTTGAACAAACTGTTCGCTCCCGAATCTCCAGTACTTGGTGAGTTTCCACCGGTCCAATCTGGATGGTAGCTGAATTTATATTATTTCAACATGCCTTATTACAGGCCTAAAACAGGAATATGAAGACAACAAGCAGGACTGCATGCCCGTATTCTTCAAAAGTAGTTACTGTTAGCGTTAGCGAATCACTAATTTACTCCTACAGTATATCTCCGGTATAGTGAATACCACACAGTGCACTAAATAGACAGTGATTGACAGTAAAGTAAATGTTTTCTATTTTGATATGTTTTAAATATTTGTTTATTCGTGTGATTTATTCCTTCCAGCAAAGCTGAATTTTCAGCAGGCATTACTCCAGTTTTCTGTGTCACATGATTCTTCAGTAATCATTTTGATATGCTGATTTGGTGTTCAAGAAACACGTCTCACTATGGGAAAAGAAATATTTTGTAACAGTGTAAAAGTATTTACTGTCACTTCTCATCAATTTAATGCACCCATGCTGAATAAAATCTTACTGACCCCAGACTTTCGAACAGTAGTGAATGAAGTTCAGGGTCAAATAGAAAAAACACTTGTGTTTATTGCGATTCTTCAACCTGCCCACCACATTGGCCTCTAAGTGACTGGGGTTTGAGACCTCCTGGTGTAGTGGCTCATCTGTGTTCAGTATTGGGATTTATTGAAGGGATTAAGGGAGTAGAAAAGAAGGGAATCACGTAATGGGGTGAAGGGTAGATTGCACAAGATGGAGTCAAATTGGGAACAATCTGAATATCCCACATTTAAAAAAAAAAAAAAAAAATTCTACTGACCGCAACAAAACCCCACAGAGAGCCATGCAGATGCGCAAATAAGTTCTTGTGCCATTTTAAACCTTTACATAAACTGTAAGGATTAATCCCAGAGTGTAATATTGGTTGGATGTAAGGTAGATGAGATTGCCAAACAGATAATGAAACACAATGGTCCATGTGATTTTGGTTATGTATTTTCTTAGGTGCCTGTCCTACCCTTCCAGTGGCCTCTGGCGTAGAATAGCTAATTGTACTGAACGTTGTTCAATCTCTTGAACCACCTGATTTGCAGCGTGCGCAACCACCCAGGCAAATGCACACCCTTACTTGTGTCAACCTCACCATGTGGTGTCCTAACCACCCTGTTCGGGTTCAAAATGTGGTTAACTGCTCTTCCTCCCACCCCAGCTTTCTTCATCATACCCCATCTTGGGACTTCCATTTGACCCAAATTCTGCTCCCGCTGATGCGATCCATGGGCTTGGCCGCTGACTTCAGCTACTGCTCGAGTCTCTGAGATAAGCCTTGATCCAGGGCATGGCTGGAGCTGATCTTCGGCGACTCCCTTTTGGGAACATACTGTTTGAATTAATCGTTCTCCATTAGAGCCTGACTTTGTATTCCCAGGTTTATCTTCTAATAAAAGAGAGAAGGGAAGTGTGTTTTAGTGGAAACTCGGTGGGAATTCAAGTATCTGCTTTAGTTGAGAACTTCCAATTTCAATCTACCTATTGGGTAGCTATTAGTTTATCATAAATTTCTTATCATGCCCAAATATAAAATTAGGTTGTTTTTTCCAGTTCAAAAGTTTGGGGTTGGTATAGGGCTGCAACTAACGATTATTTTGATAATCGATTAGTTGGTCGATTATTTGTTCGATTAATCGGTAATTGTTTCTCATATGGACGTCTGTAAAAATAAATATACTTATCAGTGATAAAACTCGTGGATTCCGAATAGGGCCTAGTGTAATTTCTTTGTCCTGTTAAAGGCGGTTTTGAAGCGTCTGATATTTATATTCAGACAAT